GAGAAGCCAAGATTCACCGCCTACAACTAACATCACCTACAACTGGCATCACCTACAACTTGACTCGGGTGATGCCAGTATAAAAGAGTCCTTTATATATCTCAGACAGCCACATTAACTAAAGGGAAAAAATACCCAAGTCCTGTGTAGTTCACTTTCCTTTAACAAACTATGATTACTGTGTTCTGACATTAGGGTGTAACTTATTGATTTAGGATGCATAACAAGCCACTCAGGCTATTTCCCCAGAATCTTATTGAAGTATTTTCATTCAGTGTACGTTAAGTAAATGAAATACCTGATCTGGGAGTAAAAGATACTATCAATCCTACACAGTCCATTCCAACTAAGAATAGGTTGGAATTTTCACTCGCTTTACGCTATTCTATCAGGAATGACTTGATATTGAAATCAGTAGCATTATACAATGTAAAAGTATGTAATCCCAATCAAACCCAGTGACTATTGGCAATTAACAGAAGACAGAAGAAGTGCATGTTTTGAGGACTGCATTTGATTTTTAGTTATTACACACTTAAATTATCGGTTATTTTGATTCTAACCCACATCCTCTTAGAGATGTCCAGGGAAGTTACAGTACAGTAGTTTGAATTTTGTTATACAATATTTCAAGCTAGGAGCTTATTTTTTTTTTTTAATCTGTAACTTTTTATTTTAAAAGGGACAAGAAATGGGTATTAGATCTTAAACAGTTTAAACCAAAATCTAAAAATCATAGGCTGGAGAATTTTATGACCAATAACATATAATAAAATATGCTGAAACAGAGGTAATCAAATCACGCAATACAGAACATCAGCTGATTACTACTCGGATTTGGAAGGAACTTTCTCCATGTTGTACAATTGGGTTGATGGATTGTTGGAGGGTTTTCCACACTGGATAAGATAATGGATAAAATTTTCAGAAGCACCTGGGTCACTTAGAAGCCTAAATTCCCCCAGTGACTTAGGTGCTTTTGAAAATGGTACTTAGGTTCCAAAGTCACTTAGACATTTTGAACATTTTGCTCTATATCTATCTTTATTATTTTGTATTTATTTGGAGAATGTTTTTTCTACCATGTAAAAAATACTTACAAGACTTGGTTGTGGTTTTTTTGTTTGTTAGAGTTTCTGTGTAAGGAATGCCCAAAAGTTCATATTTACCTTGATCGGATCGAACTGAAAGATATTCCAGAAGAACAGATGTATATGAGAAGATGGCTTCATGAACGCTTTGAAATAAAGGATAAGTGAGTAGCGATAGTCATGTCACAGCTGAGACTTAAGATTTGATATGCTTCAAAGTAACTTATTTTTAGTATTAACACAATGAACAGTCTTAGACCTCCTAAACATTTCCATGGACCAGCTCACCCACTCTGCTAAGAACCCAATGGTAGGGGTCTGCTGGGGGACCCAGTTTCCCCCAAATTGTTCCATCGATGGGGATAGATGGTGTTTCCCACATTGGAATGTCCTATGGGGGCGCGTACACACAGTGGATCCACATGAGAGTCTGGCATACTTACAGAGGTCTGTGCCTCCACATCAGCTCAGATTCCCCTCCAGTTCTCTCTTGTTCCCATGCAGCATAGTTCAGCAGGAACTGGCCTGCCAGAGTTTCCTCAGTTGGCAGCTGCTCTTAGATATAAATAGGTGATAACTAATTCATCTAGTGAGTTCCTAACCTTCTGTATACCGCCATACATCCTATAAGCGAAAGGCTGCCACGACTCAATGGGTTCTGTAGGGATATATACCATTTCAAACTCACAAGGCTATAATTGTCCCTGGTGTAACTTCACTGAGGTCAATGAAAGATGAATTTGATCTTTGAGCCCATGTGGAAGGCAACTATAGATCTAGGCATATATATATGGCCCTCATCACCATAGTATCTGAGCATCTCACAATAAATTAAATAAATAAATAAATTAATGGAGATATCCTATCTCCTAGAACTGGAAGGGACCTTGAAAGGTCATCAAGTCCAGCCCCCTGCCTTCACTAGCAGGACCAAGTACTGATTTTTGCCCCAGATCCCTAAGTGATTAATAAATTTTCTCTTCACCACACTCCTGTGAGGTAGGAAAGGACTGTTATCCCTATTGTGCAGATACAGAACTGAGTCACAGGCAGAAGAAGTGACTTCTGCAGGGTTACACAGGAAGTGTGTGGAGCCAGGAACTGAATGGAGGTCTCTAGGCCCAGTTCAGTGCCCTGTTCACTAGATCATCCTTCCTACCTAATGACAGGTTTCAGAGTAGCAGCCGTGTTAGTCTGTATCCACAAAAAGAACAAGAGTACTTGTGGCACCTTAGAGACTAACAAATTTATTAGAGCATAAGCTTTCGTGGGCTACAGCCCACTTCTTCGGATGCATCCGAAGAAGTGGGC